AATTTACGCGCCTGCTGCTTTCCTTGGATGTGGTAGCCGTTTCTCAGACTCCCTCCCCGGAATCGAACCCTGATTTCCCGTTACCCGTTACAACCATGATATTGATAGTAACTACTATAATAACATGAAACTAAAAAGTGAAAAATAAATATAGTTTAAAAAAACTAAAAAAACACGCTTTTAAAGCACATCGAACTAAAAAGTTAAAAATAATTTTTAAAATAAGCTTAAAACAATAATGAACGAAAAATACTAGTATTATTGTAATAAAAGCGTGGGTGCTTTGTGCCATATTTTTCGTATATTGAGCACCCGACGCTTTTATCACAATAATACTAGTATTTTTTGTTCATAATTATTTTAAAAATTATTTTTAACTTTTTAGTTCGATGTGCTTTAAGTGCGTGTTTTTTTTAGTTTTTTTAAACTATATTTTTGTATAGAAAAAGCTGGTTAAGCTACTTTTTATTTGAATATAGATTTTTTTTTCAATTTTTAAGGGTAATATCTTCAATAAATACAAATTGTAATCATTTGACGTATTGTTGAAAAATTTAGGTTAATTGAGGGTTGGAAAAATAAATCGCAGCCACAAAAAGAAACACATAGTAAAATAATATTAACATGAATAAGAAATTTCTTCTCATGAGGGTAGACTACAGTGATGGGATAGTTGATATTTATTGAAGTTATTGAATCTAAATTAAATAAAAATAAAATGATTTGAAAATTTTTATAACTAAAAAAAAAATGCAAAATATTAATTGCTACAAGCGGATTCGAACCTGTGCCCTAACCGTGAAAGACCCAAGTGTTACCGATTCGGCAACTATTCGTCGCATGATAAAATTAGCAAATTAAGCTAAGTCAAATATAAAAGTTACTTTTTCGACTTAAAAAAAGCAAAAAAATTAATATAAGTTTAACTTCTTATATCTTATGAACTTTATTCTAGATAATAATATAAGCTTTAATTTAAAATTAAATAAAAGCGTCAATATTTCCGGAATATTTTCAAAAATTATATTGAAAAAGCTTAACTTGTATGCAAAAATTGTTTTTTTGAATTTCCCTTGCGGGCAGGTTTAGACTCAGATTTTTTAAAAAAATATTTCATTGAAAGAAGAATATCTAAGGTTTCAATATAAAAAAAATAATTTTAATTTGTTCATTTTTTAAAAAGTTGTAGCAGTTTTAAGTATTTTCCTATAGAAGAAAAAGTGTCGTGACAAATTTGTTTTTTTGATCTTATAGTACATAACATTAGCTTTATTTTAACATATGTTTGAAGCTCGGAGTATTTCCGGAACATCTTCAAAACTTAAGTTGAAAAAGTTAAATTTTTGTGCAGAAGTTTGTATTTTGAATCCCCTTCTGTGGGCAGGTAAAGGGTCAAATTTTCAAAAAATTTATATGAAATAAAAGAAAATTTTTAAGTTTTCAATGTCGAAAAAATCTAGGTTGATTAGTTAATTTTTGAAAAAGTTATGCTAATATTAAGATAAAAAAGTGAAAAAAATGACGAAATTTACCGATTTTAAAAATAGTAATTTTTTTTGAGATATCTTCCATTTACGGGGAACGAGCGAAATTTTTTCACTTTTTAAGGGTAATGTCTTTTATCACAAGATACGATTTGTGATCATTGACATATTGTTCATCAAAATCTCAGTGAGAGTTGAGAAAAAGTGGCAATAGACACACAAAAAAAAAACACATCATGGTGAAATTAATACCTTCTCAGCTTCGCATCGAAGCTAAAAAAAATAAAAAATGTAATTAACAAAAAAAGATATCATAGTTTTGCATCGAAGCTAAAATTATTTTATTTTGTTAATTTTTAAAAAGTTAGGGCAGTTTTAAGAAAAAAAATAATAAAATTTACTTATTTTAAAAAATTGTAAGTTTTTGGCGGATTTACCCCATGTAATCGGAACGTTTAATTAAAATTTTTTTTTCAATTTTCAAAGGCAATATCTGCAACTAGATTTGATTTAAAATCTTTTGATGTATTGTTGAAAGAAATTAACCGGGTAAGATCTTATAAAGTGGGGTGACAGGCATAAAAAAACATAGAGTAATGTTAATACTTACTCAGTTTCATATCTAAGCAAAAAGAAACTGTCAAAAAAATCTATATCATATATATAATTAAAAAAACAAGAGTCTGTGACTTGCAAATTATAAAAACATAATTAAAAATTATTTCTAGGTAAAACATAAAAAGAACAATTGAAGATAGCATAAATTATAAACATTTATTTTATATTAATAAAATTATTTTTTATATAATCAACAATGTTTATATCAAACATTTCCCTACTTGATTTGACTTTAACACGTAACTGAATATTTTAATATCGACGTTTTGGTATTATTGAATTTATATTTTCATAATATAATCTAACGTTTTATGACTTAATTTTCCCTAAAAAAGTAACTTAAGTGATAAAACGAATCTGATTTAGGATTAAAAATCTTAATTCTAAAAAAAATATCAAATATATCAAAATCCTATTTTAAAAATTCTCTCTTATTATATAATAGAACAAGGAAATAATGTTATAAAAACATTATTTAAAAAAAAAAAATTTTAGAGATGTTATGAAAATTTTATTTTAACGCCAATCACTAAATTTCTCTTAAATTAATAATTATTTTTTTGGATATTGTTAATTGTATATTACGTATAATAAAATCATTTTTAGGATCATCTTTTATATCTTATATGGTTTTCAAATCTATTATTTAACTGACAATGTATGTATTAAATTGAATTTTAAAATAGAAAAATGATCTAATTAAGAATACGACTGATCTATATTATATAAATAACTATATTTATATATATTCCATATGAATAACTTTAGACAAATACTTTTGAAGTAGAATTTTGACTGCAGGTGAATGACGGATGATGCAATTTTTATTATTCGTTATTTTTCAGTTTAATTCTAAACTATGGTTAAAATATGAAAAATAATAATAATATTAGGTTTTTAAATATTTTTTTTAACAAAAAGGGGAACAAGTCGTTATGCTGGAACATTGTTATTATTAGAAAAAATAATGAAGATCTGGAACGAGTTCTTTTTGATAAAGATTTTTTCGGGGGCCTATATAAGTACGGAAAAAAATACTATCGGAATGTATAATAAGAGAAAATATTTTTTGTGACAAAATATTTACGGACCGTAGAATGACGGAAAATGCAGTGCCGTATCATATAATGACGGCAAGTCAAATAGCAGACCGCAGAATAACGGAACGTAAAATCGTGAAGAGTGAAGAGGCGGATCGTAGAATCTCGAAACGTAGTTTTACGGAATCATTGGTTCCAAAAATTTGACTAATTGAAATTGTTATTTATCAAACATAAAATATCTCATGAAATATTTTATTTCTTCTGTAAAATTTTGGATAAGATAGATTCCTGTGATAATCAACTTATATAATAATAAAATTTTTTATTAGTACAATATTTCTATTTACTGTCACTAAAATATACTGTATATAAAATTTTTTGTGAATTATAAAAAGTTTTAAGTGAGAAATGATTAGTTTTTTTATAAATAGTGGTAAGAATACATTATAGTAATTACTAGTCCAACATAAATTTATTACGCTAATTTTAAAGTTAACATATAAGCTAACAAAATTAATTTTATAGTTAAATAAAGTCAGTTAAATTCAACTGAAAATTAAATTATTTTTTAAGATCATAGTATAATTTTAAAATCATAAGATTTAAAAAAAAAGTAATTTAAATTTCAAAATTTATGAGTTTTTTCTTTGTGTTATAATTTACTTAGTAATATAAGTATAAAAAAAATATTATTATCTATTTAATAATGCCTAAATGCCTCTTTTCGGTAATAAATCAATTTTACAAATTATTCTGAAGAACAAGAATAATTAAAATATCTCAATAATGATTGTTGCTAATCGGTATTTTAATAGAGCAGAAAACTAACCTGAATGATAAAATTGATTAATAATATTTTGTTACATGACTGATATCAACTATTTACTAGACATATTATAATAAGAATTAACAAGGTCTTCAACAACTCCATGTGTGTGGTTAAATTATCTTATGAAAAAATTAATCAAATATGTTATACAGGTCATTAATTAAGGAAAAGACATTCATTATCTTGAAAAATTTTTAATTTCCGTAAAAGAAAATATTGTTTGATACAAAAAACTTAATAATAATATATAGTTAAATAATTTCAGGTTTTCATCTCTTCAGAGGTGGAACTTAAAATATTAAGTACCTATCTCTATTGAGCTTGTAGTCTTAAAAATAATTGTTTAATTAATTTATAAGTATTCCAAATACATTTAAATGAAAGTATTTTACTAGTATTTAAAATACTTTTTCATAAAAGTATTTGAATAGAATCTTAGACCCTTTAAAAAGGTATTCGTTACAAAACTGACTGTACCCTAAATTTTGTCTCAAAAAAAGCTTTGATAAGCTAAAAAAAAAGTGTTATCGACTCTATAATACAGGTATCCTTATTTTATAAGTTAAATAAATTAAATTCATTTTATACTTATTATAAATTATTAATTTTAAACAATTTTAATGTAAGTTTAATAGAGACATAAAACAAATATTTTTACTCAATAATTATACTATAATATAAATTAATCAAATTTAAAAAAAAAATTAATTGGTGAAGTTACTTTAAATATTTCCGTGTGTCAAAAATATATTAATATTGACACTTATCCTATCAATTCGAAAATAGTAGAATGTTTTATTGTTGATACAAATAGGATACCAGATAATTTTAAAATTAATATAATTTTTTTTTTTTTTTATATCAGAAGAAAGTGGCAAAGCATTTGTAAATACTTTATAACATACCATTTGACCAGAAAAGATTACAATTTTACATTTCACGATTTAATTATAAAATTAATTTTTTCTAAAAATTTTTTTTTAATTATAAATTATCAATATGAACTTGTAATAAATGTTTAATTTATGAGGCGTTTGATTGTTTTTATGTATTACACAATTTAATTATTAATGTTTTTAATTTTTTTGGTGACTATATTTTTTTAAGTGAAATTACTCTTTTCCATATTTTTGAATGATTATACATTTGAAAATTGTATTGAAAATTCAAATTATGTTTAATTGTACGTGAATTTTAATGATTAATATTAAAATTTTAATTGAATAAAGTTAAAAGTATTCAAATTATTATTATTATTATTATTTGTATTTGTATTAGGGCGGTCCTGAAATCAAAATAATAATTTTAAGGTGACCTCAAAATTCATCAATATTTTCTGTTTGCTATTTAGATTGAAATTCCAATCATTAGGCATCAAATTTATTTAAAAAAAAATCACGAAGTATACATAGGATATATTATACATAAATTGTGTATATGTATGTATATATTTATGTACTTTAATAGTATTAGATTAAATTCTATTTAAAGTTAAATTTTTAATATTCATAAGTATTATATTGTATCTGTAACGTCACTCAACCCAGCGTTTGACATTTAAATGACGTTCCTATGAAATCAACTAAAATTTTCTTTAATATCGCACGTTGCCACGAGACTATTACGTTTCGTCTCATTAACTTGTTAAAAATCTTAAAATTTTTGTATTCCTGGATGTAAATTATTTTTATTATTTACACTTTTTTTTTTAAGAATAAAATCTAAAAATATGTTAACTGTCCTTAATATTAATATTAAAAATATTAATAGATATTAATATTTTAAAACAATCAACTTTGATTTTATAATAATATTGAAAAAAACTACTTAACATTAAAGTTTAAAAAGATTTTAGGTTTTCAAATATGAGGAAGGTTGTTGTACCTTTTTGAAATGTATGTTTCATAAATACGTTATTTATAATTCACTGCGATATTGAGCTGCTCAAATAACTATAAATACCTGTGTAAATTATATAATTAATTAAAAAAATATTTATTACAATCACTATTGGATTCAGAAATATTAATAATATAAAATTGATGTGTTATCTTAAGAATGATCGAAATCGAAAGGAAATCTTTATTATTAGAAGATATGAAAAAACTTATGTCTTGCTAAAATTTCATACCCAGTCATCGTACTTTAGTCAGTATTAATGAAGTAAAACTATATGGAACAAAAGAGCAAATTGAGAACCACTTATCACAATATTTTCCAGATTTTTACGGTCCGGCGTTCTACGTTCCTAATTTTAGAAGTAAGTTAATGTACGGTCAGGCATTTTATATTCCGTACTTATACAGTCCGGCTTTTAAATTTTTTGTAATTATACAGTTCCCACAATATACTTCCCGGTAATATTTTTTCCAGATAATTCGTGTTCCGCCCATTTTTTCCCCGCATAATTACGGCCTCCCATTTTTTCCAACACTGTTCTTTAAAATTGATCAGTGTCAGTTACGTGTTATTGTCAAATTTATAGCGATATATCATATTAATATACTATATAATAAGTATGCTCACGTGAAATATCATTATGTAAACAACGATATTTAGATTCAACTAAAAGCTATACTATAATTTATGCGCTTTAATATTTATAGAAAATTGACTTAAATATATTTTATAAAATTCTGTGTATCTTTTTTATTAAGGTCATCTATTTCAAACTCCGATTCTTCATTCATTGTTGTATCACCTATTAAATCTAAAATAAAATAATTATTTCAATTCTTTTATGTAAATTATATATAACTATATATCTATGTTTTTCAAACCATTAGAATTATTAACACAAGTCAACAATTATAAAATAATTTGTAATTATGGAATATCAAGTCATTTTATTTTTTTTATTTGTTATTATATTAAAAGCTAATTTGCAAAAAAATCGTAAGAGTGACGATGTTCTATGTTAAATATTTTACTAATCATAACCACTAACAAAATTGCATTTTTGTTGGTAGTATAGATTATAAAGGAAAAATTACTCAATTACATATCCTAACCAAGTAAATATTGTCGTATTGTAAAATATATCTATTAATCCCTTCCTAATTATACCCGTAGTCTTAATGTTTGTATATAGTTATGTACTATCAAATTTTATTTATTTAAGTTCATTTTACACTTTAACAAATGAAAAATTTTTATTTCTAATCAGCTTAATTTTTAAATATTGAATTTTTAAGTGTCAAACTTTGTAGTATAAGATTTATTTAACAGTTGTAATGTTCAATCACTTTTCAAAATTCATCTATTTAAATTAGTATGGTAAATGAGTATATATCTTTTAAAAATTATAATATCATATAAAATATCATTTTATATTTAATAAAAACGCTTTAAAGTTCAATACTAAAATTGTGTTGTTAAATCAAGTTCGAAAAATAAAAAAAATTCGATTACTTTTTGAAACTCATGTTTGTGTTTTTTTTAATTTAAAACACTTTGGTGTGATTATTGGGTTATTATACATTGGGTTAATATACATTCTTAGAAAAAGTTAAAATCATACAAAATGTATATCTCTATTATATGGAGACGCTTAACATATTAACATTCGATTCTAAAATTTTGTAGATATTTTAGTTTAAATAATTTTATATAAGTGAAAATGAAAATGATTATGGTGGAACTAGGCTATATAATTCAATAAATCAACAAATAATTTACCTTTTTGTAGAAAATCATAAAAAACTGGTATTGTATCTGAAGAGGTTTTGGATTCATTGTCCGTTTCTAAATATAAGTAATTAGAAAAATTTATTAGTGATTAAATAATTTCAGTTTTTTATTTACTGTAATCTAACGAAGAAAATCATGTGTTTTTAACTAAAAAAGGTGAACTCATTGGTATTTGGACGATTGTTATAAGAAAGTGCGTAGTCTGATATGTTATTGTTTTTCGTGAAATCAATGATCGATTTTACGCCAGATATCATTATTATTTCCACGTATAGTTTTATAATTGATAAATGATTACTTGAACTTGGTGAGTTATGTATATTAAAAAGCAAATATATTTAGCATTTTGTGGTCTTTGAAAACTAGCTAAAAGAGACTTCCTCATAATAAAACTTCAAATTATCTAAATTAACATATCAAGCAGAGAGTAATTGGATAAATTAATCTCGTAAATTTCGGATTTTCTTTATAAGATAATTAAGTATAATATTAATTTTACCTTATAAGTAGAATGTTTTATGGTTTTTCCGTCACATACATTTAAAAACATTGTGTAATGCTTTGCATTACGCATCTTACGATTATCAATGAAAAATGTATAATTTGTATTTTAATTAACTTGTAAACAAACAAATAATTTATCTGTCATAACAAATACGATGTTCAACACAATTTCTTATTATTTATATATATGTCAATTTATCAATTGTTAAATATGTTATCTCAACATAATAATCATGTAATGTATAATTAACTACAATAAACTAAAAAGATCACTAAAAGCGCTGACAACAATATCCCTGGATTGGGGGCACTATCATTTTACTATAAAAAGCACTGAAATCCTTTCAAACTCCGGAGAGACTCTAGAGAGACTCCAAGTAGTGACAGCGAGTGAGAGAGTTCGTTTTCTCCGAATTGAAATAAGAATAAAAAGAAACAATTATCAGTCACAGCCCTGTTTTGTTGTCGACTGACTTTTACGCGTTTTATTTATATATGAAAAGAACTTGTTTTAATTATTTATCCTTTGACGAAGTGCGAATTAAATACTTTTAAACATATATATATGTTATATACATATATATAACATATACACATCGATATATTTATCAAATCATTTTACAAGCAATTTGCAAGAATAAAAGAAGTAAGTAATTTTATGTTATCCCAATTATTTGGAGTAAAGGATGACAAAGCAATAGATCATTTATTAAAAATAATATCTTAAAGAGTCAATTTTGACTGGTTGGTTAAAGAAATTATACATAATCACGTTATATGGTATTCGTGAACTGGCTCTGCCGTTTCGTTGCCTTAAAGATGTTTTAAAAAACCTAGCGTGATTTCTACTGTATAAATTAGGCTCTGGTATTCGTGGACTGGCTCTGCCGTCTCGTTGCCGAGGTATTCGTGAACTGGCTTCGCCGTTTCGTTGCCTCTTAGTTAGGACATTAGAAACTAACCAGACAAAACTTTATTACACCTCGAATAGAGGTACTACGTCTATTATTTTTATATCTACTTGTCTTTGTCGTTCTAAACCCTCGAACCATACGACCCCGTATAGAACCATAGAACCACAACATCAGGTTCTCACTATACCCATCACCCATCGCTCATTTTCATCATTTTTATTTTATCGATTATTGCTTATTATTTTTGAATTATAACAATTACAAGATTTTAATTTAAAATTATTTTTTGCCTCGACGTACAGAAAAAACATAAAATTGTGTATAAATTAAGGCATTTTAAAAAGATACCATTATTATTTCTTTTTCAAAACTATGCTCCATGATATAATTTTTTATCGAGTGCAAAATGTAAAAAATTCAAAATTGGGAATGTCATATTTGTTTGAATCTTTTGATTATTAGTAAGGAAATTTAAATTAATAATATCATTATTCCTCCTAGAATAAAAAAAAATAATTTGCGCATGATAACTATTGAAAGTCAATTTATTGATTAAATATTTTTTATAAATCAATTTTAATTCCACCTATTATAGCTAATTATAGCTTTTTGATACATTTTTGTTTTTCGTAAGAACAATGAACGATTTTTCGTCTGTTATTACTAATATAAACTGTTTAAATGTTTAGTTCAATACTAAAATTGTGTAGATATTTTAGTTTAAATAATTTTAAAATACATAAGTATAAGTATATAAGTATGTAATCGATACTGTAAATGGTTAGGGCACTAAGCTTTACAGCAGGTTTTGAAGATAACAATTTTAGATAATTGACTAGAAATTTACCTTTTTGAAGAAAATCATGCAAAACTGGTGTTGTAGCTGGCCTATTTTGGGATTCATTGTTTGTTTCTAAATAAAAATAATTAGAAAAATATATTAGTGATAAAATTAATTCAGTTCTTTATTCACAGTTATTAAAAAAACATATATTTTAACTAAATAATGTGAACTCTTTGGTATTTGTACGTTTGTTACTAGAAAGTGTATTGTCACTTTTTGATATTTTTTTGTTCTTCGTAAAAATAATGAACGATTTTTCGTCTCATATCATTATCATTTGTGCATAAAGTTTTGGCTCCGATAGAACCCCATTATATACAATTAACTTAATATTTCAATGACTATATTTGTGTAAAAAAACAAAACAAATTATTAACAAAATTTCATTTTAACTGGACACCCATTCACAGGTAATTTATTTAAGGTAGGGTATAAAAAAGTTGCAGGCGTCATAATATTTTTCGCATTTTTTGGTTTTGAAAACTAGCAATAACTGTCTTCTTTATAAAAAAAACTTCTAATTACAAAAATAACATAACAATGTATATAACATGTTAATAATATATCAATCTCTTAAACCTAGGTTTTGCATTCTTCATTTTGGGAAAGTATATATAATATTAATTTTATTTAATTAATATAAGTTTTGAATGTTAATCCATCTCACACATTTGAAAAAATTGTGTAAGATTATAGTATTTTTACTTAAATAATTTTTTTCTTGCTGTTCAAAATAACGTAAAATTGTGTATAAATTGATATTTAGTAAAGAAATATAATTTTTATTTCTTTTTTAAAACTATGTTTTATGATATAATTTTATATCAAGTGTACGATGAAATAAGATTGGGAATATCATANGTTGGCGACCCTCTTCTTATAATTTTGTAAAACGCCATGAAAGTTACGAATTTTTCGTTGCGGCCAATTAATTTGATTTTTATATATTTGTAACCTTTCAACATATATTTAAATTTTTAGGATATTATGAGGTATAATTAATTATTTCTCTCATACAAGACTAAACAGAAAATTTACATGTGAATGAATATTGAAAAACAATTTATTCATAGCAAATTCTTAATAAATCTGGTTTAATTCCACGGATTATTGCTAAATTCATTTCTAGATGTAATTCTATATTTAAAAATTATTTTAAAATATCACATATGACATATTCAAATTACGGCAAGATTATAAAGAAATTTAAATTTAATTAATTTTAATATTATTGTATGTAATTATATAGTAATACAATTCTATTTATACAAAAACAGTCAAAATAGTTAAAAGAAAAATTATATCATTAGTTTATTCCAAAATCTAAGACCACTTTTTATACAAAAAGAAATTATTTTATTAATTATATCTTATAAATATAAAAATATACCTTTATAAAGATGAACTAATGAACGCGGAATGAATATTTCTCCGTTATGTATATTAAATTCGAATCCAAGTTGGGTAAAATTATCTAAAGTTAACATCTCGATTTCATTTAATATAATTTCACTGCCGCAATAATAAAATGCTATATTTTCTGCGTTCATGTCTATATTTTTATATAGCGCGTTCAATTTTTTTGTTATCAAAAAAATTTTACTACATTCCAATTTGCAATAATGATTAATATTAATCTCTAAATTAGTTATAATATTACTTATTGACAATAGTATACTCCTTAGTATAGTTTTATTACATGACATATCATCACACGATGGACATAAGTTATTTAATTCCTTTTGTAAATTTTGGATC